GTGCGGAGGCGGCAGAAGGGAGGCAGCAACCGATGCAATAAAAGGGGAAAATTGAGTGAACCTAGACGCGAATCCGTGCTAGGTACAGTCGAAGACGAGCTATGATGGAAGAAAAGAATGAAAGGGAGGGATGATGGCATAGCGTAGGCGATTGTGGGTAGAATCGGGCAAGGGAGGGCTCAATTTTGAAGTTCGAGGGTAGGGCGATTTCAAATATGAAGTTCGTTTCAGTCAAAAGTTAGCAGATCTGGAGGTAGAGAAGGAATTTAGTGCGTGGAGGTTTCGTGGGAGCGGATATGGCCATAGGGAAGAAATAGAGATCTCGCTCGTTTCCTGATGAAAACTAGCGAGGGAAGATCCACTTTTGAGGTTCCTTGGACGGGTGACCACAACTGTAACGCTAGTTTTAGTAGTGAGTTAGTAGAAATGAAGATTAGTAAAGAAAGAACTGCGTGGGGAGAGGAGCAAGTTCGGAGAGTTGTGCATCCGGCGAGACTTTTGCAGAAGATTCATTCGGTTCTGCCCAGCCAGTCGACGGAGGTAGCGTGGGGTTTGCCGGGAAGGTTTAGGAACATGCATGATAGTGAGTGTGTTGCCCATCCTATCGTTGGTATGGTGGTGAAGAGCAAGGCTCGAGTTTGAAGACTTACCTGCAGGTTGGTGGGTTCGAACGGAATGTATTTGGTCATGCCACAGCGGAAGGTTCATTCGATGTTTGCTTAATTGTTCCTGCGAGACAGCGTGGAGCAGCCGCAGGGTTCGAGACTTACCTGTTGGCTGAAGTGTTGCTCCGCTGTCGGTTGAAGTTTGCACATGCAGAGACGGAGAGGGGGGGGGGCGAACTTTACTACTCACAGGTGTACCACTCGTCACACCAGCGTGTGCGGTAGCAGGCCAGCCACGAAGGTGCGGACTTACCTGCTGACCAGAGAAGTGAGGGGCGAGACCGCAGAGACTGCAGTTTGTACCCACTGGCTAGTGCCCCTGCCGATTGTATCAAGTACCGCTACTGCACGCAGGCCGCAGGAAGTAGGCCTGGTAGCTGGCCGGCGCGTCGTTCATCCTGCTGGTGCGGAGTAGCAAGGGGAACAGTCGTAGGGCCTGTTGCAGACAGTAGTGCTGCGTCAAGCTTGCTGTTCTGCTGCAGGCTACTTCAGGGCTTGCTAACTCTGTCGTGTTGCGTTCAAACGCTCGCGCCAGCCACATTTCAGCAGCAGCAG